CAAGCTGTTAAATGAAAAAATGTAGGGCGTTACCGTTTTGGACTTAGGTCCTGCTCTGCGCTCCAACAAAAGCAGACTAAAAATCTGAGTAAAATCTTCCACACCAACCAAGCCAAAACCATATTGCTTATTTTATCCGCTGAGAAATCGGGATTATTAAGGTGACACCACAAAGACCCAATAGGCCAGCTTCTGGTAGCATTCTTGGCAGTGACTAATCCTCTGTTTTAACTCTTACTCCAAGCAGTCATCTGGAACAATCTGATGCTAGCCAAGTGCTTTCTCCCCCGTACTTCTGTATGCCTGCCCACACCTGATGAGGAAAGTGACTTGGAAAGACTACCTTTCTGTTCCGTTCCAGCTGCCAGCAGCCTCTCCCCGTTTAGATAAACAGGATTTTGCCTAAGACTCTCACCCATTCTTTAGGATATGTTACTTTCTTCTGAGTGTCTTTCTCTCTTAATCCTCATGCTTACATCTATGTTAAATCATCTTTATTAAAGCTAGGCCTGGTGGCTCACACCTTTAATCCCAGCACTAGGGAGGGAAAGGCAGGCAGATCTCTGAGTTAGAGGTCAGCCTGGTCTGCAGAGTAAGTTCCAGGACAGCCAGGGTTACACAGAGAAACCTTGTCTTGCAAAAAATGGAAAAAATAAAACAGGACAAAAAAAAGAAACACCACCCACCCCATCTTTATTAGCTTCCTAGCCTCAGCTCACGCAGGTGTTCTTGCTCAGTCCATAAGAAGCTAATTTTTATGGGATGAAGCATTGGTTGACTCCAGAACCGAAAATAAAACCAACAAAGATCTTAAAACAAACTGTCATTTTGTCCTTTGACAAGAACGTATAACTCTCAGCGGCAACCCTGAAAATTGGAGTGCAATGGTGGACCACTTACACAGCCTACGTGAAGCTCTGGGTCTGGTCCCCAGCACCATTATAAAAGTCAACAGTCTATTCTTACACGACAAACAACTTTATGGACCACACTGAAGTTAATCAGAGGATTGCTTTGAAGTTATGACTAGCATCTCTATATGCTTAGCAGGGACACAGAGGCCTATCTCCAGTCTTTCATCACAAACATGTACACACCTGTCCACGTTGCTCTGCAGGTTCAGAGTGCAGGTGGCAGTGTTGACCCCACTCAGTTCTTGTTCTCTATTTCTTTCCCCTAGTTTATGGTTCTGTTTGCTTACATGGTTAGGAACAGTTTCCGAGATCCTTTTGGGACCTGCTGTCTGAGTTAATGTCATCACTGTTCTCTCAGCAAAGACCAGACGAGAATAAGCCTCTCTCTCTCTCTCTCCCCGTCTCTTTCTTTCTTCCTTTCTTTTTTCTTTTTTTAAATGGAGTTAAATGCATTACCATGAGTTTAGGTTGTTCTCAAACTTGTGAACCTCTTGACTATGCCTATCAAGTACCTGGATGGTTGGTGTGGGGTGCCACTCCCAGCCTAGGGGGATCTTGTCCCCATTCTAAAGAGTGATGTCCATTTTCTCTTCAGGAAGTAATGTGCTGGGGCTGGAGAGGTGGGTCAATGGTTAAGAGCTCTGGCTGTTCTTCCTGGGGACCTGGTACAATTCCCAGCACCCACATGGCAACTCACAACTGTCTGTAACTCCAGTTCCAGGGTACCTGACACCCTCATACACTTATACATGCAGGCAAAACACCATTGTACAGTTGTACAGAAGGAGAAGAAAAGAAGAAGAAGAAGGAGGAGGAGGAGGAGGAGGAGGAGGAGGAGAAATGTATTTCATCCTTGTAGGTCAGTCTGGTGAAGCCTGGAAGTTTCTACCAAGGCTCTGCATTTATAGTCTTTTTGCTAGAGACAGTCTCTGTGAACAGAGGAGCTATGTGTGTGGAGCAGCTTAGCAGGCTGTGGGAGACCTGATCACTGGGATATCACAGACATTGGGGATCTGAAAACCCAGTAGAGGAGTTGAATAGAAGCTGCTGGCAGATCTCGAATTCAGGTCTGGTTCATGACTCCCAAGAACTTCAGTGTTGCCTTTGACGTCTGATTATGTTATAGGCCAGGAATGTCAGATTGATACACTGGGACACACAGGGCTGTGGGAAGCATTCTCTGGTCCTGTGGTGCAGCTTCAACCTTTCACAAAGTCTCTCCTCAATCTGCTTGGCTTTCTAAAAGCCCCCATTCATTTTCCTTCTGTGGCTCCCTGAGACAAGAACCAGGGAGAGGAGGCAGAGACTAGCACTTCCTCCTGTCAGAGGTTACAGGAGCTGGAGTTGTTTGCCCTTCTCCAGGTGGATTAGAATCTAGTGAAACACTTTTCCTTGAAAGTTTTTGTTTTGTTTTGGAAACAGGGTCTTCTTATGTAGCCCTGGCTGCTGTGGAACTCACTATGTAGAGTAGGCTGGCCTGGAACTCAGAGATCTACCTGCCTCTGCCTCGCAAGTGCTGTACCACCACACTTGACCTTTTATTAGGAGAATAAAAGTGGAAGGTTCTGGGCCTTTTGGAAGATGAGCTCACAACACATTCCTCTTCTCAGCTCCTTCTCGCAGGAAGCACTAGGGGATTTTGATCCGTCTGTTGTGAAAACTTGGTAGGGCTCCTGGAGACAGAACTCACACTGACAAAAGGATGAGACCCCTCCACTCCCTGCAGAATTTTCTCTCTCAAGAGAGTCCGCACCACACTTTTGTCTATTGACCCACCACAGGCAGTGTTGTTCCTGAAGGACTGGCTCCAGCATCAGGCTCTGCTCCTAAAAGCTTTTGTTTTCTTTGCCTTTCTCTCCAATTCAGAGGGCTACAGACTGTTCTGTGACCTAATTCTCAAGGCGTTCCTGATGAATCAGTTTTTTTTTCTTTCTTTCTCTTGTGGTGATCCTTGCACACCGTCATACATTTTGAACAGACACCTCAGTGGGAGATTCTTTTTAAAATATTTTGAGCCAGATGTGGTGGTGCTCACCTTTGATCACAGCACTTGGGAGGTAGAGGCAGGTGGATCTCCCTGAATTCCAGGCCAGCCAAAGCTTGCTACATGGTGACACCTGCTTTAAAAAAAAAAAAAAAAAGTAAATATTTTGAACTTTAGTGGGTCTCAGAATGACTCTTTGGTAACTCATTCTGGTTGCAACTTTTACCTCAGAGTGCCCATTCACAAACTGTTACGTAACAACTACTTGCAATACTTGTACTGTCTTCCACCTCCTGCCGGCTCTCAGGACCTCTCAGGAGGAGTGGTCATGGCTATAGCAGGTACTTGCCATTTTTCTTCTCTCCTCGCAAAATATATAGGTCCCTACCCACTTGGCCAGGGAAACCCCACAGGAGGCCAACACTAGTCTGACTGAACTGGGACTTAACTGTGTGACTGAAAGTCAAGTGGTCACATGGAGATGGCTTAATAACTTCAAAATTGTCAAGCTAGGGACTCTTTGTGCTACTTAGACAGGCTGACATTCTACAATGTAGGAGTTCCAAAAAGTCCTGTGTTAAAATCCAGTTCCTCAGGATGTGATGTTCTATTTAGAAGCAGGGTTTAAGATGTCATTAGTTCAGACAAGGTCATACTGGAATGGAGTAGGCACATCTACTATCTTACAAAAAGAAGAAATTTCGATGCACACATGCTTACCACACATGCTCGGGAAGAAGACAGTCATGTCCAGGCCAAGGAGAGACAGGAGCATGTCCCTTCTCATGGCCTTGAGTAGAGGTCAACCTTGCTACCAGGAGACAATACACCTGTGTTATTCACACCGCTCAGTTTGTGGTATGTTGCCAGGTGGCAGTCCTAGGTAACGTACACATGATCCCTTGTTCCTCACATGTTATCTGAGAGAGAAGGTCTTTTGTTCTCTCAGTATAATGTGAGGGTGCAATGTTTCCTTTCTTTCTTTCTTTCTTTCTTTCTTTCTTTCTTTCTTTCTTTCTTTCTTTCTTTCTTTCTTTCTTGTTTTTGTAGACAGAGTTGCACCATGTAGCTCTGTCTTTACTGGAACTCACTTTGTAGACCAGCCTGGTCTTGAACTCTCTGAGATATACCTACCTCTGCCTACTGAGTGCTGAGATTAAAGGTGTGTGTCACTACACTTGGCTTGACAATGTGTTCTTTACCTTTACCCCCAAACAACAAATTGAAGACAATTGTATTTGAGATTCAAGAAAACCCCATGGCAGGCAAACTGTAAATCCCAGAAGCTGCCCAGAGGAGGAAGAGTCAAAGCTAGGTTGTTTGAGTTAGGCTTGGAGGTTGGCCACAAGTTGAGCAAGCAGTTTTGGCTCTGGCCAGCATCTGAAAGAGAGAGCAGAAAGAAGAAGGAAAGGAAGAAAGAAAGAAAGAGAGAAAGAAAGGAAAGGAAGGAAGAAAGAAAGGTGGAGGGGAGAGAGAGAGAGATGGGGAGAGAGAGAGAGAGACAGAGAGAGAGACAGAGAGAGAGACAGAGAGAGAGACAGAGAGAGAGACAGAGAGAGACAGAGAGAAAAGAAAGCCACACCTTTTTCAGTCAGAAAGACAAGCTTGGTGAACAGAACTTCCAGGTGGCTTTGGAGCAACTGCCCTAGGGGACAGGCACTCAGCACTTTATTTCTTGAAGGCACGGTTATTCTTTCTGTCTCTTTAGCTTGGTTTAAAGTGAATCCGCCTTCCTGAGGGGTGGTCCTTTGGCTAGGTGATGGACACACCCAGTTGGATTAACTCTTAGGTCCTGGGTTGCTTGGAATGTTAGGTATCCACCCAGTCAAAGAAATAGCTTTCCCTAACAGGCTTCCACTGAACTCTGATCAAAGCTTCTGTGACATCCCCCTCTGAAGGGATTATCCTAAAGTTATTTTGGAGACGGACTGAAATTGAAAGATGGATATAACCCACGTTTACCCTGCAAATTCAGATACAGTTCCAAAGCTTTTCACCGAAAGGGACTAACCACAGGGACTGGAGCTCCAGTCCCAGCCACCCTCACGTGTGACTTCCAGGCAATGGGTGGGGCTCGCTTAGAAGAAGATAAGTAACCGCGGTTCCCTTCTGGCGTTCCTGACTAGAGAACCAAGGACATGTCTGGAACTGTTGCTTTCAGGGACAAAGTTTTCTCACAGTTAACCTTTTAAGTTTATTTTGAAGATTCCAAGGTCTGGGAAACACGTGACCCGTGCTTTCTTTACATAAATAGCAAGCCACGCTTTGGTTTCTCAGCAGTCTTTGGACTTCAGCATGAGTGCGTCTCGGTGGCTGGCTTGTGCTGCGTTTTCTGTCTTCTGTGTCTTAAAAATCAGCTCTCTGGACACTTTTGTTGCAGCTGTTTACGAGCATGCCGTGATCCTGCCTAGTAACACCCTCTTACCCGTGTCTCCCAGCGAGGCACTGGCATTAATGAATCAGAATCTGGATCTTCTGGAAGGAGCGATCGTATCAGCAGCAAAGCAGGTATGGGCGCCCATCTCTCCGGAGTGCCAAGCCCTGAGAAGGATGGGGCCAGGGGAGGGGTGGGGGTGGTTCTCAGGGACCCGGGTTGTTGTCAGAGTCAGTTACGCTTACAATATTGGCATAGGAAGATGCTTTGTTTTATTAGATTCCTTTCACCTCAAAATTATTAAATGCACCATTACATACCCCTAACAAAGGGAGGGAGCAAAGTTTGAAAATAACATTTTGCTCATTTTTTAAGCAGGACTTTGAGAAACTGGCCATATATTGAACATTTTTTTGTTTTCATTTTCTGCTAAACATGGAGGGTAAAGTATAACCAGGATTGGGACCCCAGTTGCTATTCTTTATTTTATGTGTGTGAGTGTTTTTGCCTGAGTGTACCTGTGTTTACCAGGTGTGTACCTGGTCCCCACAGAGGGTGGAAGAAGGCATTGGATCTTCTGGAACTAGAGTTCCAGGCAGTTTTGAGCAGCCATGTAGGTGCTGGGACTTGAACCTAGGTCCTCTGGAAGGGCAGCCGGTGTTCTTAGCCTTGAACCCTCTCTCTAGCCACGCCCCCTCCAGTTGCTATTTTAGACTATACCAGCTTCAGTACGTCTTTGTGCTCTGCTTTGTAGGGTTCAGATAAGTTTACAATCTGACAAGATCTGGCGAGTTCAGAGTGTATGGCCACAGAGTTGCAGCTTACAGTCTGAAATAATTAAACCAGTTACAAACCCCGAACACTAAGTAACATAGTCACCCATTCATTTTAATTTCACTATCAAAGTGTCTGTCAATGTCACTGAGTTGGGTGAAATGTGAAGTTTAAAGCAAACTTTACAATATAAGTGTGGTTTAGCTGGACAGGTTTAAGTAAGATAATCATAGGTCAGTTCTAGACCAGGGACATGTGAAGTACGACAACAGTAATAAATACAAACATGTCAGTGTGCTGGGTGTCTTGGCACATGCTTTTAATCCCAGTGCCTAGAAAGCAGAGAAAGTAGATCCCCACAAGTCTCAGGTCAACCAGGGCTATGTACACAGTGAGACCCAATCAATTTTTATATATATTAAAATTTAAAAGATTATTACATGTTCATATTGTATTTCACCCTTAGTCCAACTGTTTCTTTAAAGGCCGTGGCAACCTTTAAGGTGCCTCTCCGATCCACCTTAGCAAGGGAGAGCCTTGCTGACCTGCGCGTATGAGGTTCTCCCTCCTAAGGAGCAGGAATCACATTTGTGGGTGCTGCGGAGGAGAATCCTGAGGCAAAAACAGGGATTGGGTTATGAATCAATCCAGATTCAGCCAGGCACAACTGACCAAAATTTGAAGAGAGCTTGATGGGGGGGGGGGGGCGGGAAGAAATAGGTTTATAATTAATGGGAGCAGGGTGTTACAGAGCTGTGAATGGCTTAGACAGCTGTTAGTGGCCATTAAAAAAAAAGTCACCAATGTGATAATGGCAGGTGTAGAAAATTAAAGCGCTTGGGAAAATCAGATGTATACTTGTAATCTGAGTGCTTGGGAGGTGGAGGCAGGAGGCTCGGGAGTTTAAGGTTATTCTAAACTATACAGTGAGTTTGAGGGCCAGGCTGGGCTACATGAGATCCTGTCTCAAAACAAAACAAACAAACAAAAAAGTTTGGAAAAAGCAAAATAGAGAAAACAGAAGAATAAGATTAAAAGTGCCCAAATGGTTATTTGACTCTCTCTGACTCCCCCCCACCTCTCTCTCTGAGATGGCATCTCTCTATGTAGTTCTGGCTGTGTTGGAACTCTCTATGTAGTATAGGCTGGCCTCCACTGCTTGAGTTCCTCTGCCACGCCCAGCTTGCTGCTCCATTTCCAGTTCTCACAGCAGCCCACCTCTGATTGTTTGCCTGTTTGAGAAATATTTTATTTATTTATTTATCTATCTATTTATTTATTCATTTATTTATTCATTCATTCATTCATTCATTCATCCATTTATTTATTTATTTATTTATTTGGTTTTTTTGAGACAGGGTTATTCTGTGTAGCTTTAGAGCCTGTCCTGGAACTCACTCTGTAGCCCAGGCTGGCCTCGAACTTACAAAGATCCGCCTGCTTCTGCCTCCCAGAGTGCTGGGATTAAAGGCATGTGCCACCACCTCCCAGCGAGAAATATTTTAACTCTCCGTTTCTAACAGGGTGCACACATTATTGTGACTCCAGAAGACGGTATATATGGTATGCGTTTCACCAGGGATACTATCTACCCATACTTAGAGGATATCCCAGACCCTCAAGTGAACTGGATCCCCTGTGATAATGCAAACAGGTGAAGAAAACAGTCTACGGAAGGGAGCGGGTTGGGGGAGATCTAGGGGGGAGTTGTAGGGAGGGGGGAGGGTAGATATGATCAGATTTTACTATATACATATAAGAAATTCTCAAGCCAGGCAGCGGGGGGGGGGGGGGGGGGGGGGGCACACACCTTTAATCCCAACACTCGTGAGGCAGAGCCAGGCAGATCTCTGTGAGTTCGAGGCCAGCCTGGTGTACAGAGTGAGTTCCAGGAAAGGCGCAAAGCTACACAGAGAAACCCTGTCTCAAAAAACCAAAAAAACCAAACCAAACCAAACCAAAACAAAAAAAAAGAAATTCTCAAATAAACACACACAAAAAATGAAAAATTCAACTATGAACCTCTACTTGCTTTACCTGGAAAAGGGTGTTGAAAACATGAACAGGTCCTGTGTAGTCAGCTTGCTGCTGCTGTCTATCACAAAATAGCTGAGACAACCAACTTCAAAGGAGACCCAGTTTCAGAGGTTTTAATCGATGGTCATGTGGCCCAGTTTCTTTAGGCCTATGGTAACATGCATCATGGTGGCAAGGCGTGGCAGAGCAGTTAATTCACTTCAGGGTAGTCAGAAAGAAAAAAAAAAGAGGAAGGGGCCAGGGTTCTAATACCTATTCATCAATACACCCCAATGACACACCTTTCTTCTCTTAGTTTTAACCTCTTAAAAGTTTCACCATCGCCGGGCGGTGGTGGCGCACGCCTTTAATCTCAGCACTCGGGAGGCAGAGGCAGGCGGATCTCTGTGAGTTCGAGGCCAGCCTGGTCTACAAAGCGAGTTCCAGGAAAGTCGCAAAACTACACAGAGAAACCCTGTCTCGAAAAACCAAAAAAAAAAAAAAAAAAAAAAAAAAAAAAAGTTTCACCATCTTTAAGTACTCCCTTGGACTGGGGACCAAGCCTTCAACACGGACCCACAATCAGCCAAGTTTGGTTTAATTTTCATCTCCTGTGAATATATTTATCAGGAAAATGAACATAAGTTATGAGATCACCAGTCAATGCTCTAATGTTTATTTCTATTTCCTAGTACCAAAGGGAATCACATCCAGTCTGGAGGGATGATAGCCGATAACTTGCTTAAGGTCTTAGAGGCAGTTAGCAGGAGGAACAAGACCCAAGATGTTAGCATGCCCACATTTGCCTTTCCTCTTCAGAATCAGCTATTTTTCTCATTGCTCCAGCAAAATATCCAGTAAGGAGCAATTTCAGGAAGGAAGGAGTAGCTTATTCTGTATCGCAGTCTGAGTGGGTACAGTCTATTATGGCAGGAAAGACCCCATGGTAAGGAGGATGAGGCCGTGGCCACATTGCACCTGCAGCCAGGAAGCAGAGAGTGATGAATGCTCCTATTCAGCTAGTTTTCTTCTTTTTCTTCTTCTTCTTGTTCTTCTTGTTCTTGTTCTTCTTCTTCTTGTTCTTCTTCTTCTTGTTCTTCTTTTCCTCCTTCTCCTCCTCCTTTTTCCCCTTCTTCTTCCTCCTCCTCCTTCTCCTTTTCTCCTCCTTCTCTTCTTCTTTTCTTTTCTTTTTTTTTTTGAGGCAGGGTCTCATTGTGTAATCTTGGCTGGTCTAGAGTATGCTATATACTCAGAGACCCACCTGCCACTGCCTCTTAAGTGTTGGGATTCAAAGTGAGGACCACCCCAGCTATCTGAGCTGTGTTTCTTGGAGGTATCATATAGATGGGTCTCCTAGTATTTAATTTAAATTGCTGGTCTATGTCTTTCAGAGAGTTTAGATCATCACCATTCAGAATTATTACTCAAAGATATGAATTCATTACTCTCTTATTTTTCTTTTCTTTTTCTTTTTCTTTTCTTTCTTTCTTTCTTTTTTTTTTTTTTTTGAGACAGGGTTTCTCTGCATAGCTTTGCGCCTTTCCTGGATCTCGCTCTGTAGACCAGGCTGGCCTCGAACTCAAAGATCCACCTGGCTCTGCCTCCCGAGTGCTGGGATTAAAGGTGTGCGCTACCATCACCCGGTTTACTGTCTTATTTTTCTTGTTAAAATGTTTGATACTTTCCACTTTTCCTAATCCTCCTTTGCTTATATACTGTTCTAGTGTGGTTTATTCTTCACTGTAAATTCATATGCATGCTTATTTTGCTTCAGTGTGTAAAATTCCTTCAAATGTCTACTTTAGGGCTGCCTTAATGGCTATGACTTCCTTTCAGCTTGGATATCATGGCAAGGTTTTGTTTCTCTTTCAATTATGAAGCTACGGCTTTGCTAGATATAGTACTCAGGGTTGACAGTTAATTTTCTTTCAAAACTTGAAGTTCATTGCTCCATGCTTTTTTGGTTTTTGGTTTTTGGTGTGTGTGTGTGTGTGTGTGTGTGTGTGTGTGTGTGTGTGTGTGTGTGTGTGTGTTTAATTTTTAGAAATCTACCATTATTCTGATAGATTTGTCTTTACACATGACTTGCTACTTCTCTATGGCTTTCCAAATGTTTTCTTTGTTCCCTATATTTAGTATGTTAACTATACTATTACATAGAGAAGCTCTCTTCTTGTCTTCTGTGTTTGGCATATACATTTGGGTGGCCATCTCTTTCCCTGGCTTTAGGAACTTTACTGCTATGATTAAAAAAAAAATTAAAGATTTATTTATTTTATGTGCGTGAGTATTGCCTTCCCATATATATGTGTACCACATGCCTGTCAGCTGCCTGGGAAGGTCAGAAGAAGCATAGGGTGCCCTAGAATTGTAGTTATGGATGGTTGTGAGCTACCATGGAGGTGCTAGGAACTGAACCCAGGTCCTTTACATGCAATAAGTAGTACTCTTAACCACTGAGCCATCTTTCTAGCTCCTCAGTCATGATTTTATAAATATACTTTTAATACCCTTAACATGTATTTTTATTCCTTTTGTGCCCATGCATAAATTTGGCCTTTTAATGTGTTCTGCTTGTATTTTCTTATTTTTGATTTGTTCGTCTGGGTGTCTTAAGCCATCCTCCTGTCTTCAAGCCTTGATATTCTGTCTTCCACTTGATTCAGTCTGCTGCTAGGGCTTTCATATCCTCCTCTTTTTTTTTTTTTTTGGTTTTTCGAGACAGGGTTTCTCTGTGTAGCTTTGCGCCTTTCCTGGAACTCGCTTTGGAGACCAGGCTGGCCTCGAACTCACAGAGATCCGCCTGGCTCTGCCTCCCGAGTGCTGGGATTAAAGGCGTGCGCCACCACCGCCCGGCTCATATCCTCCTCTTTTATATCTTGTAGTGCCTTCTTTATTTCATTTAGCTATCCATAATCTCTGTCTTCCGATCAGGAGTCTATGTCCTCTTGAATTCTGTTCTCTGATGTCATTTAGGAGTCTGTTGCTTTAATCCTCTCCAACGTCCTTATAATCATGCCCTATATTCATTGTCCGGTCTTTCTCTTTGGAGGCCATTTCTGTGGGGTTGGTGATTTTCAGGAGTCATATTCCTTGGCTTTTCATGCATCCTGTATTTTCCATTTGACATCTGTGCAACTGGGATTAAGTTGTTGGATTAAAAATCAAACAAAACAAAATAAACACAAACTCTCCCTTATTGATTCAATTGAAGTGTTTGTAGAATCCAAGAGTGACCGATTGTAGTAGGGTTGAGGTGCCAGACCTCCCCTCTGGCCTGGGGTTAGGGTGTATGGTTTCTTTCTTTCCTGCTTCCTTCTTCCTTCCTTCCTTCCTTCCTTCCTTCCTTCCTTCCTTCCTTCCTTCCTTCCTTCCTTCCTTCTTTCTCCCTCCCTCCCCTTTCTTTCTTTCTTTCTTTCTTTCTTTCTTTCTTTCTTTCTTTCTTTCTTTCTTTCTTTCTTTCTTTCTTTCTTTCCTTCTTTCTTTCTTTCTCTCTCTCTCTTTCTCCCTCCCTCCCTCCCTCCCTCCCTCTCTCTCATTCTCTCTCTCTCTCTCTCTCTTTCTTTCTGTCTCTGTCTCTGTCTCTGTCTCTCTCTCTCAATATTTTGGTTTTTCAAGACAGGATTTTTCTGTATAGCCCTGGCTGTCTTAGAACTTACTCTGTAGACCAGCCTAGCCTCAAACTCAGAGATGAGCCTGCCTCTGCCTCCTAAGTACTGGGATCAAGGGCCTGTGCTCTCACTGCCCAGTGGGTGTGCGGTTTAATGCCTAAACCTTCAGCCTCTATGCTCAGGGCACCAGGCACATTTCCCAACACTACTCCAAGAGTGGATTATCAACCCCAGAAACAACCTCAACTGAAGGCAAGGTCTGCTTTGGAACTAGAATTTTTTCTCTTATCTGAGCTCAGGGTACCTGCAATTACCATCATCTAGGTATGCCTACCCCACTGAATTTCAGTTTATATGATTCTCTTCTCCAGATACCATCTCTCAGTGGGGAACTGGGTTTTGGAGTTTGGATACGTGTGTTTTCTACTTTTCCAATCAATTGGCTGATTGTAGAATTTCTCTCAGGTCTGCTGTTTCCTTGCCCTACCATAATTTGTTGAGTCTCAGACAGTGAGTATTATTTTCTCAGTGTCTGCTTTCACAGTTTGTTGGTGTATCATTCAAAATTTTCGGCTTTGGCTTCTGATCATCTTATTTTCCATCTGTTTGTTAGAGTAGGGGATAGAGAGGGTTTTCATTCACTGCTTTTGGTCAGTGTTTTAGGGTACAGTCTTATTTTCTTGATACATCTAACATTCTTTAAGGTCTCACTGTGTACCTCTGGCTGGTCTGGAACTTGCTGGAATTTGTAGCAGGCTGTCCTCAAACTCCCAGAGATCTGCAGCCACTTATAAAATAACCACTCATAGGCTTAATATCATTTACCAGCTATGTGGCCTATGGCAGGCTTCTTGCTAGCTAGCTCTCATAGTTTAACTCAACCCATAACTATTAATCTATGTATAGCCATTACATGTTGCTCCTAGGATGGCAGTCTGGCATCTTTTCCACTCTGCCTTTCTCTTTCCTGTCTCTCCCTTTGGATTTCCTGCCTGCCTCTAAGCTGCCTTGCCGTAGGTCAAAGCAGCTTATTTATTAACCAATGGCAACAACATATATTCACAGCATATAGAAAGACCCCCAACCCCCAGCACTTGTCCTCCCATATTTCTCAACTTTTTGTTTGTTTGTTTTTGAGATTGGGTAGCCCTGGCTCTGGATCTCATTATATAGACCAGGCTGGCTTTGAACTCAGAGAGATCTGACTGCCTCTGCCTCCCCAGTGCTGGAATTAAAGTTGTATGCCACCATACCTGTCTAAACTATCTATCTATCTATCTATCTATCTATCTATCTATCTATCTATCTATCTATGTATCTGTGTATCTATCTGAGACAGGGTTTCTCTTTGTAGCCCTGGCTGTCTGGATCCCACTCTATAGAACGGCCTCGAACTCTGCCTCCAGGTGCTGGGATTATAGTCATGCACCACCTCTGGGCCAGTCAACCTTCAACCTTTTTTTTAAAAGACAGAATTTCATGAGTTCTGAAGTGGCTCTGAGTTTATTATGTGGCTGAGAATGACCTTGAACTTCTGTCTCCTGCCTTGACTGTCCTAGCGCAGGAATCACAGGAATTAAAACGTATGTCACCATACCCAGTGTATTCCGTGCTGGGGATAGAATCCTGTATTTCAATCATGCTAGGCAAGCACTCTACCAATTGAGATACATCCCTAATCCATCTCTCTGTCTCTGTCTGTCTGTCTCTCTCTGTCTTCCTCTCTCTCTGTCTGTCTCTCTTTATCTCTCTTTCTTTCTCAAGGCAAATTGAAACTTTTCAGACTTATGGGGACAAGAGAGTGCAGCTTGCCCTACTCTGACATTTTCAGGAACAGTATTTCTGTACTTGCTCTCCAATTTGTAATAACTACTATAACTGCTGATTCAGGAATTAAAGACATATCACCACACCTAGTGCCATTTTCTTATATTTGCTGTTTCTCTGTTGTCATATGTTTCTTTGTTGGTGGTTAAATATTTCAACCTTAAGATTCTTATTTCCCCCAAGGTTTGCTGTAATTCCTCTTCAAAATGGGGGAGGGAGGTGGTCTCTTATACCCTGGTAGTCAATTCTACCAGCAAGAGCAAGTTTTTAAATAGTGGAGCATGTGTACAAAAATTACTTTCTCTTTGTCTGTGTCTCCGTGTTCAGAAGCAGGAATTTAGACAAGGACCTTGATATTTAGCGTCCAGAGTCCTTGTTACCCAGTTTGCTTCCCAAGCTGTCTGCAAACTGCACCAAGAGAGGACAGCTTCCTGCTGCAAGGCTAGGGATGGGAGATGGACAGCCACTGCTAATTAGAAATGAACTGATGACATTAACTACCATTTATCTTCTGGGCCTTTGAACGTGTTGACTATAGAATTCCAAAAAGTTAGGACAGATTCTGTCTAGGTAGGGAGTCAGATTCCAGAGTGTTCTCTGTTCTGCTATCTTTCCAGCATTCTCCTGGTTCTAAGTTTTGGTTCAGGCATAGTGCTTCTTCTGTTAGGCCTGGTTTCATCAACAGGATGTGGAAGGTTTTGCTTTATAATATCCAGGGTATGCTGCAGACATTTTAAAATGAATATACCGCTGGGGGTGGTGGTGCATGCCTTTAATCCCATCCCTTGGGAGGCAGAGGCAGGCAGATTTCTGTGAGTTCGAGGCCAGCCTGGTCTACAGAGTGAGTTCCAAGAAAGGCTCCAAAGCTACACAGAGAAACCCTGTCTCAAAAAAAACAAAAACAAAAACAAAAAACAAAAAACCAAACCAAAAAACAAAACCAGAAAAAAATGAATATACCACTGCATGTATAGATTAGATACATATTATGATACATTATAGATTTGATACATATTATGATTCAAAAGTATATATGACTGGACTCTTAACCCTAGAATATTTTTCTACTGCTAAATTCCCACTATTGGTGTCCTTTAAGTCTCTTGTTTTAATCCCTTTTTTCCCCCACCCATTAGTTGAAATCATTGTATATACCAAGCCATAGATTTTTGTTAAAAGCTAATCCAGAGTTTTTAAAACATTCTCTCCCAATGGACATATACCAGATTTGGCTACACCCCGGTACAGGAAAGACTCAGCTGCTTGGCCAAGAACAATTCGATCTATGTCGTGGCCAACATGGGAGACAAGAAGCCGTGCAACACTAGCGACCCTCGGTGTCCTCCTGACGGCCGTTTCCAGTACAACACCGACGTGGTGTTCGATTCCCTGGGCAAACTGGTTGCGCGATACCATAAGGTAATATTAATTGATTGGTTTATTAAGGGACTACGGAATAAAAGTGAGGAGAACAATTATTATTTACAACAATAAACCGCCTTTAGAGGGTGAGTAGTGACAGTTCAGAAAGTAAGCAGTATTTAGATGTAAACAGTTCCTGCAAGGAGACCCAAGGCATCCCCAGTGCACTCAGCAACCTAGTTGGTTTTTTTTTTTTTTTTTTACTCTTTGGGGCCCCACCACCCAGCTCTAAAATAAATACACAGAGATTTATTCTTACTTATGAATGCCTAGCCTTAGTTTGGCTTCTTTCTAGCCAGCTTTTCTAACTTAAATTATCCCGTTTCTTTTTAGCTATGTTTTGCCTCTGGGCTTTTTAACCTTTCTTTATGTATCTTTCTTTCCTTCTTACTCCGTGGCTTGCTGTGTGGCTATGTGGCTGACTCCTGGCATCCTCCTCTTCTTTTCCTTTTCCTGCTCCTAGCTCTCTTCTCTATCGAGCCTAATTTCTTCTCCTATTTCTTCTCTCTGCCTGCCAGTCCTGCCTATCCTTTCTCTGCCCAGCTATTGGCCGTTCAGCTCTTTATGAGACCAATCAGGTATCTTAGACAGGCAAAGTAACACAGCTTCACAGAGTTAAACAAATGCAACATAAAAGAATGCAATGCATCTTTGCATCATTAAGCAAATATTCCATAGCATAAACAAATGTAACACATCTTAAACTAATGTTTCACAACAGGTGAGAGTCACCTGGAGCTATCTTCATTGAGCTATACTCTGTCATCTTTTGGGTTTTGACTTTAAAAACTCTCCTGAGGTAATGAGTCAAAGGTGAATTAAAAGGGCCTTATGGGACAGATTTAGCTCTGAGGAAGGAGTGAAGTTCCTTGTACATAGTGAGGTGTTTTGTCAATGGTTGTCTGTTTCACTGTTACTTTGTGAGATTGAAGACCATCTGTACAGACAAATGCACCCATATACACCATCTATACAGACAAGTGCACCAATATACATCTATAATGTGAAGGGAGTTGCTGGCTCCATTCTATTGGAGTGGCTCTGATTTTCTAAGGCACCAGTCTTCCATAGAGACTGGTCACAGACGAAATGTGCACTGTTGAATGAACACATTTTTACGTGTAGAGTAGCGTCCTGGGAAGCTTCCTAGAATTTTATTGCTCTGCATTGTTTGTTTATTACAGCAAAACCTTTTCATGGGTGAAGAACAATTCAATGCACCCGTGGAGCCTGAGTTTGTGACTTTCAACACCCCGTTTGGAAAGTTTGGCATCTTCACATGCTTCGATATACTCTTCCATGATCCTGCTATCACCCTGGTGACAGAGTACCAGGTGGACACTATACTGTTCCCAACCGCCTGGATGGATGTTCTGCCGCATCTGGCAGCCATTGAATTCCACTCAGCTTGGGCTATGGGAATGGGGGTCAATTTCCTTGCAGCCAATATACATCATCCCTCAAAAAGAATGACAGGTAGGTAATATGTGGTCTTTAAACTTTAGTTGCCTTTAATCCCAGCACTCGGGAGGCAGAGCCAGGCAGATCTCTGTGAGTTCGAGGCCAGCCTGGGCTACCAAGTGAGTCCCAGGAAAGGCGCAAAGCTACACAGAGAAACCCTGTCTCGAAAAACCAAAAAAAAAAAAAAAAAAGAGCATTAAAAAAAATAGTTTGTACATCTTTTGTTTTTCAACTCCTATTTTTTTTAAAGCTAATATAGTCTATCTTTTTTTTATAGAAAGTACTTATTAAAGATTTATTTATTCATTGTATATGTAGGTATTCACCATGTCCATGCAGCAGATGTGTGTATTACCCTTGGAGGCCATCAGATCCCCTGGAACTGGAGTTACAAACAGTTGTGTGCCACCATATGCGTTCTGGGAATTGAACCCTGGTCCTGTGGAAGGGCAGTCAGTGCCCTAACCACTGAGCAATCTCTCCAGCCTAACTCCTAATTTTGAATATTAAGTTGGTGATATGCTGTCCATTCAATTTTTATTGAAATGTAGCTGGGTATGGTGGTACACAGCTGTAATCTGGGACTAAGGCTGGAAAATCCTGAGTTCACAGCTAGCATGGACTATATTGAGAGACCCCCATCTTAAGACAAACAAAACCAACAACAACAAAAACCCCAAAGGAAATAAAATTATAAACACCAAAATAAAACATACCTCCAGTCGGGTGGTGGTGGTGCCCGCCTTTAATCCCAGCACTTGGGAGGCAGAGGCAGGCCTCTGTGAGTTCGAGGCCAGCCTGGGCTACAGAGTTCCAGGACAGGCTCCAAAGCTACACAGAGAAACCCTGTCTTGAAAAACCACAAAAAAACAAAACAAAACAAAACAAAACAAAACCCAAAACAACAACAACAAAAAACATACCTCCATTTGGCATATTTATTTAATATTATTCATCTTGAATATTTATTTAATATTATTCAACTTGAATTTATTTAATATTATTCAGTGTGCACCCTTTTCTTCTTTTCAAAACTAGTTTATGTGAACATCTTCTTTTTAAATGTCTTTACTGTCATGTTCCATGTATGGATTTCCTCTTGTCTTTGTTCCTGGTCAGCATATATTACAGAAATTAGTGAAATGTATTGCTTAGAGGGGGTAGAATGATGAATCTTCGATAGAAGTGGCAAACACAAAATCTCCTTATTTTCCTGTTTCCAACTTTATTTGCAGGAAGTGGCATCTACGCCCCGGATTCTCCAAGGGCCTTTCACTACGACAGGAAAACTGAGGAGGGAAAACTCCTTCTCTCACAGCTGGATTCCCACCCACGTCACTCTGCGGTGAACTGGACTTCTTACGCCAGCAGTATAGAAGCACCCTCAACAGGAAACCAGGAATTTCAGAGCATTGCTTTCTTCGATGAGTTTACCTTTGTGGAGCTCAAAGGAATCACAGGAAATTACACCGTTTGCCAGAACGATCTCTGCTGTCATCTAAGCTACCAGATGTCTGAGAAGCGAGCTGATGAAGTTTATGCCCTGGGGGCATTTGATGGGTTGCACACCGTGGAAGGGGAGTATTATCTGCAGGTAATGTCAGTGTCAGAAAAGTCTCTATCTAGATCAAATGCACACAGCTGGGAAAAACTGGGCGTCAGATAATCAATGGAAGATTGTTTTTAGTATGGTATAAATACATCTCGCTTCAGAAAAAAATACATCTCATTTCAGGAATATTTTAGTTACGGTTCCTACTACTGGGATGAAACATCATTATCAAAAGCAAGTTGAGAAGTGTCTTGGGTACTGCTCTACTGCTGTGAAGACACTCCAAGGCAACGCTTACAAAAGAAAGCCTTTAATTGGGTCTTGCATATAGTTTCTGAGGTTTAGCCCATTATCATCATGGCTGGGAGAGTTTCGGCAGGAGTTCAGTCATGGTGCTGGAGAAGTAGCTAAGAGTTCTACATCCAGATTTGCAGGCAGCAGGAAGAGAGAGACACTGGGCCTGGTTTGGGTTTTTGAAACCTCAAAGCCCTCCCTCAGTGACACACTTCCTCCAAAAAAAGAAATGCCACATCTCCTTCCTAATCCTTTCAAATAGTGTCACTCCCTGGTGACCAAGCATTTAAATCCGTGGGCCTATGGGGGCCATTCTTATTCAAACCACCACAAGGAGGAAAAGTTTATTTTGCTTATACTTCCACATCAGTGTTCATCATCTAAAGAAGTCCAGGTTGGAACCTGGAGAGAGGAGCTGATGCAGGGGCAGCGGAGAAGTGGCAACATTAATTTTAAAATTATTCAAATCACAGATAAAGGATAATGTAGTACTTAGGATACATATCCTGCACAGACAAGTTTAGGCATTTTCTGTATGCTCATCCATGCCTGTCTTTCTTTATAAAGAACTTAACACCAAGTATGCACTGAGTGATTAGTATAGATGGAGTTGCCCCTAAGATTGTTTCCAGAGTGGTTTTACTGTTGAGATGTAGGCATCTCCCAGGCCTTAGCAGGAAGGGTGCAGGTATTTCCCAGGCCTTAGCAGAAAGGGTGCAGGCATCTCCCAGCCCTTACAGCATGCTCAGATACAGTCTATGCTTTGATTCCTTGGTCTAGCTTTCAGCCTATCTCACTCAAAGTATTGCAGTGCTCTCCTAATAGGGCTGCTTGTTGATAGTTTCTGCTCTATCTAATCTATTCCTTGTACTATTACAGAATAAATTACAGTGCTTTTTCTGATTATATGATCTCCTTGCTGAAAAATTCCTCACTAAACTAGTAATTGACAAATCAAATGCATGAATATCGGAGACCCAGAAAGTCTTGTTATATGGTCCCTATAGCCTCTACTTACACATGCTCCGGGATTCTGTATATTGAGATGTTTCTAGCATTTACCCCAAATTTCCAGCATCTATAAGATCTCTACACATTTATAATTTTTTTTTTTTTTTTTTTGGTTTTTTGAGACAGGGTTTCTCTGTGTAGCTTTGTGCCTTTCCTGGAACTCACTTGGTAGCCCAGGCTGGCCTCGAACTCACAGAGATCCGCCTGGCTCTGCCTCCCGAGTGCTGGGATTAAAGGCGTACGCCACCACCGCCCGGCAAAATTTTATTCCTTTATCAATGGTGGCTCCCACCTGCTCACCTTTCATAGCACTTTTCAGTTGTTATCTTTGCCATAAAGGTTGCTCGCCACAACTGCGGGACCTCTGCCACTTCTCAGCTAGGTTATTAACCTCATTTATACGTTCCAGAACATCCTCTGTTTGGCTTCATCAAAGTCACAACATGCTACATTTATTCACACACTTGAGACTGACAGTCCTGAAATGCTAGAACTGTGCCTACTGGGTGACATTTTGTTTACTCTATAAACATTGCAGCCACGCCTGTTCATCTCCACAAACATTTGAGTACTAAGTATTTACTAGATGCATAACAGTGTTGATGATGTAAAAGTGAGTGTCAACCATCCACTTGAGAAATATAGTGTCTAGTGGAGTAGAAAGCCATGTGAGTACATAGCTCCTCAGGGGCTGACATGTGATAGTGTGTAGTGTGTCCATTTGCCTGGAAGAGTTTCAAGTTCCTGAACTTAATCTAATTTGCAGATCCAGGGAAATTTCTAGAGCTGCTGCTTGTGAGAAGAATGGGAGTATGGAGGTATCCTTCATAGACCTAAATATCTACGGTCGATACCTTTGGCAGTGCATTACAGGAAGCATTGAGGCCTAATATAATTAAGTACATTGGTTGTTCAGCAAAATAAGCCAGATAACTCTGATGAGGAAGAAACATTTTACCAGCTAAAGATGCAGAAGCAGTTTTCTAGAACAGGGCATTTCAACTGACTTTCTTTTCATTTTCCCTCCTCCCTCTCTCCCCCTTCTCTTTCTTTCTTTCTTTCTTTTTCTTTCTTTCTTTCTTTCTTTCTTTCTTTCTTTCTTTCTTTCTTTCTTTCTTTCTTTCTTTCTTTCTTTCTTTCTTTCTTTCTTTCCTTTCTTCCTTCTTTCCTTCCTTCCTTCCTTCCTTCCTTCCTTCCTTCCTTCCTTCCTTTCCCTTCCTTTTATGATTGTTATAAAAATGGGTTCCTATTATGTGTCCCTGACTATGTAGTTCAGATTAGTCGTGAACACACGGTTCTGCCTCAGTCTCCAGAGAGCTAAGATTACAGGCATATGTCACCATATCTACCCTATCTGATGACTTCAATTTGTAAAAAAGTAGATAGCTTTAAATTGCGTGAACGAAAACATCTTCACACAGCTTTAAGGTATAATTAACAAGTGAACATATCATGGCATACATCATTGCACTCCTGATACATAGCTACATTGTAGGATGACTAGATGAAGCTAATTACACATTCATCTTGACTCGGACATCTCCGTTTTCATTTCTCGTCTAGATTTGTACTCTGCTAAAATGTAAAACCACCAATTTACGCACCTGTGGTAGTTCAGTGGACACAGCTTCCACCAGGTTTGAAATGTTCTCCCTCAGTGGCACTTTTGGAACCCAGTATGTCTTCCCCGAGGTGTTGCTGAGTGAAGTCAAGCTTGCTCCTGGGGAGTTTCAGGTAACAATCTTTGATTGATGTAGCCAATTAATTTAGGAGAAGAGGAGGCATTTTGACATCAAATCTTAACCCAAATTCTTCCAAATATAAATATCCCCATTTGAAAAGGGTAACATTGTCTTGGAGGATCAGGAAAGACTCTGAGTAGACTGGATTTCTTACATGAAGATTAATATAACCTGCATGTCCTTTTTGCCCCTAAAAAGAAAGAAAGAAAGCTCATTGAGGGCACTCTATGGAGGAGGCTGGGCTGTTCAAGGTCTGTTGAGTAGGAAGAAGATTCAATGATAGTTGACAGGACCCATCTCAATAGAGAGAAGCCCCTTAGGATCTCGGGTTAGTGATGGCCTAGGGCTTAATGCCCAGTAAGATTACTGGAATAAAGGAGGGAGGGAAAAGCTAAAAGAGAGAGAATTCAACAGTGGTTGTTCGCAAGAAGAAAAAACCTCCAAAGCCCAGAACTAACGGCTTGCTTCATAACCCAGTATGTCCTCGCAGCCACATTCTTCCCTGACTGTGCAGGTCTCACTTACAGCCTCCTCTCCTCCCGAGAGTGATTGCAGGGAGGGTGTACTGTGGGAGGCCAGGGGCTGTGGGGAGCCCATGACAGTAAGAGACGCAGTCCAAACCCCACCTTGGCCCACTGTTTCTATTTGCCCTGTCTTCATGGGTCTGGAAGGGCGGGACTAGAAACGACTACCTCCTGTTTTACATGCTAATTCCTGGCGTGTTTCCTCAGACAAGTACATGGTCAGGAATCAGTTTTACGCATCAAGTAATAAGTGAACTGGTGTCAGTTCACACTTCAAATTTTCTTACACCCTGCAACGTTTTAAATATTTGAAGAACAAAGTCGGGCCATCAATTTAAGCTATTTCTTTTATTTATTAAAAGTTCGGTGGGATTTTTGTAGCTTCAATAGACCTTGTCTACTTTCCCATGTTTTGATCAGGTGTCAAGTGATGGGCGTTTGTTTAGCCTGAAGCCGACATCTGGACCTGTTTTGACAGTCACTCTGTTTGGGAGGTTGTACGAGAAGGACTGGACTTCGAATGCTTCCTCAGACCTCATAACACACTCGCTGATGATAATAATGCTGATTGTAACACCTATTATACATTACTTATGTTAATAGAATCTTTACATTTTCTATTTTATTTGGAATAATTTAAAATTGGTGGATGAAGAAAAGATCTGTTTGCCAGCGATGGCCTCTGGTGTAAGTAAATAAAGTGCCTTTTTCTTTAGAGAGGTATGTGCACCCCAGATACATTGCAGGAAAATTAATAGAACTTTGGACATTGGTCTGTCTTGGAACTCAGCTGTTGGATCAAGTGAATCACATGTGTTTTATTCAGAAGACATAAAAATGACAGTTAAAAGGCATGTCAAAATATCAAAACATATATTTACAAGAGGTTTGAATCTATTGCCACCTCATTATGACAGACACCTTATTCAGTTAAACTTAAGATTTCCAGTGAGTTTGTTCATTTGTGCTGCTAAGTATTTATCTAAACAATACATTTCCATTCTCTTATGGGCCAAATCCTGTCCCTTTAATTGTAATTATTATTATTATTAATATTTTCATATTTTGAGATAGGGTTTCTCTGTGTAGCCTTGACTGTCCTGGAACTCACTCTGTAGACCAGGCTGGCCTCAGACTCACAGAGATCCACTTGCTTCTGTCTCCCAAGTGCTGGGATTAAAGGTGTGTGACACTACTGCCCTGCAGTCCCTTTAATTCTTAAATTCAAATCTCAATTCCCATGGCCTCAGAGTGTGACTATTTGAGGAAATGGCGTACTTAAAAGAGGTAGCAGGAAGTCGTTAGCATGGACTTTAATCCAATATGGCTAATGTCCTTGGAAGAGATTTAGGACGACAAGCATGGCATGAAGTCTGTGGGAACACAGAAAAAGATGCCCATCTACAACAAGGAAAGGGGCCACAAGAGAAAGCGAACCTGTTGACGTGTTGAACTTCCAGGCCCCCAGAATCATGGGACAACATTTCTCTTTAAGTGCTCCAGTCTTTAGCTCTCCATTACAGAAGTTCAAACAAACAAGAACAAGCCCAACCAAGTTCGCTCCTTGGCCCCATTTTCAAATCTAAAGGTTTGAACAAAATGGCTTACTTAGTAAGAGTGTCAAGCAAGGCCCTCTCCCCAAGACTCCAGCAGACGCCCAGAGAAGGTGGTTCATGCATTGACAGTATAGTCACCAGATCATTGAACAGCTTTCTAGAACTAGGAAACCAGAAACTCCCATTTTTGAAAATCTGTTTAATATAACACTAAATGTTCTCTTTTGTAACAGCAAAATATTTAGATATTATACCACTTAGTAAGAAAAGGGCAACTTTTAAATTAAAAATAAAATCTCTGAATGGAGGATGACCTATACAGCACTATTGTATTATCGGTATTTTCTAGTACAAAATGTGCTTCTGAAAAAGAGAGCAGGAACTCATAGCAGCGATCCAGTATGGTATTGCTCTGTGTGTGTGTGTGTGTGTGTGTGTGTGTGTGTGTGTGTGTGTGTGTGAGAGAGAGAGAGAGAGAGAGAGAGAGAGAGAGAGAGAGAGAGAGAGAATATGTGTACAATATGCAAGAGAATATACGTGTGTGCCTGCTCTTGTTTTTGAGTATGGGTATATGTGTGTAGAGGTCATAGGACAACCTTGGGTTGTCATTCTTACCTTCCACCTTGTTTGAGACAGTGTTATGCTGGTAATTCATTGTTGGTATGCAAGGCTGGCTAGCCACCAAGAGACTCTCCCGTCTCCACCCCCATCTAGCCAGAGGAGAACTGGTATTACCGCACACATGATACAGTGTCTGGATTTTATGTGGATTCTGGAATTCTGAATATAGGTCATCAGACTCGCATAGCAGGTGCTTTATCCTCTGAGCCATCTCCCCTCCTGAAAGATACTGATTTCTTGCTCAATGGTGATTAATGCCATGTCTCAACTGCATCTTTACCTTTATAAGAGAGACAAGTTACATTCCTCATCATTAGTTTCATAGCTAGGGTATGAGAGAAGGCAGACTAAAGGCTAAGGAGAAAGTACATGATTAATATTGACATACGCATATGTCCTGGAATAAAGATCAAAGTGAGTTGAGCATGTCTGCTGATGTGTCACAGAGAATAAAATCTCGAGATACTGAGAAAAAAAAATCTTAACATGAAGAACAGAAATGTCTCAGGTCTGAAAGATAAGTTTACAATGATAAAAAATCAACGATCAAGAGTGAACAGAGTGAGCCTGCATATGTGTGTGTGTGTGTGTGTGTGTGTGTGTGTGTGTGTCTGTCTGTCTGTCCAGTGCGCATGTGCATGCTTAAGTGCAGGTCAGAGATCAGTGTTAAGTTATCATCTTCAATCATTTCCCACCTTGTTTTTTGAGACAAGCTATCCTTTAGCAAGCAGCTTGCTGAGTCGGTTAGCCTGGCTGGATGGCAAGCCTTGGGGTTTTGCCTGTCTGCCTCTTCAGCGGTGGGATTATAGGCATGCGCCACCATGCCTGGCTTTTCATGTGAGTATAGTGCACCTGAGCTCAGGTGCTCATACTTAAGCAGCAAGCTGTTCACTGACAGAGCCATTTCCCCAACGGTAAGAGTGCATTCTTTTCATTTTGTTTTGAAGTTGCTCTTTCTGGTGAAAGGACCGCAGAGCTAGCAAACACTCTTATCATCTAGAACAGCTATTTAGATGTCAATGTGTTCTGCAAACTTTGACACCCTGCCAAAGCAAAGAGGGTCCACCTGTCACTATGGTGGTAATTTACGTGATAAACAGTTAATGTTTTGGCAAGTGCATTGTAGACATGTTAATTGGATAAACTTTAAACTGAGTTGTGGAAATATTAGTATCACCGATTATGGTGTTAATTTAATGAAATTTGTGGTAAACCAGCTGACTTCATTCTATATATAGTAAAATTTTATCTTGTTTTACCAAAACAATTAAATGAGGGTTTATTTGCCGTTACAATGTGAGTGAAAATAAATAACGAGCCTGCTGTTATGTGTACTCAGTGCTAGGAAAGTAGATATTGTAAAGATTAATTATAAAAACATTGTAGTAAGAAAATAAAACCTGATAGCCTAGAATTGGCTTCCCAAGCATACATGTAATTTAACAGAAAGATGTAAAAAATTGCCTTCAGAGATTGCAACTAATATATACAATACTTTTAGTGATGAGGATAATTTTAAGTATTTGGAAATGCTTGAAAACTATAATTACCATTTTTATCTCATCTGCCATTAACTTCTCCTTAAGAAGACTTTCCTACTCAAACACAGAAACCCCTACCTGGACAATGGGAAGAGAGTGAGAGACCTTGGAACACTCAGTCATAAAAGGAGATGTCGCCATCAAATTCCTCCTCTCGGGTCTCAAGGAACTCTGAAGAAGAAGAGGAGACAAGAGATTGTAAGAGCCAGAGGGCATGGCAGACAACAACAAAAAGCAAGGCCTTCGAAACACAGCAGGACCAATATACATGAGCTCACAGAGACTGAGGCAGCATGCAAAGGGCCCGCAGAGGTCTGTACCAAATGGGATCACAGTGCTGAGGGGAAGTGAACACAATTCCCCTTCCCTAACCCGGAAGCTATCTCCAATTGACAACTACTTGCAAAGGAAAAATTAGTTTTCTCCAAGGGAGTCCAAACCACACTTAAGTGCAGGCCCCAAGCCCAGCAGTAGATGGCCAACAAAATGTGAACTCAGTGGTATTTTTGGAGGGGTTTTGTCTCATAATGCTTTGTCTGGACATTTTTTTTTTAAACCTTACAGCTTTTTTTTTCTTATATATATTATGGTTTCTGACTTTGTGCTTTCATGGGATTTCTGTTTGTGCTTGTGGGAGGGTGGAGGGATTCTCCTACTCACCTACCCATAGATGGCTGTGGAGTCAAGTTCTTGTGCATGCAGTAATATTTGTTTCTTTATTCAGGCATTTGGAGGATCTGGGAGAAAAAAAAAAACTATAGAAAAAGTTGAATCTTTTATTTGATATTTTTCTTCCAAATTCTAGATGGTGGCTAGGAGTTGGAAATTGGAAATCAGACAAATCCAGAACAAAATTCCTTTACTGATCCGTTGTAATAATTTATCAGAGTCTTGGTTCTTTGCTTTGTAAATAAATGGTGAGATTATTTAAAGTTTTGGGAATACACCTGGGACTTCATGTTCTCAGCTCAGGAATGAGTAGAGGGTCAACAAAAGCACTTCATGGTTCTCTTCTCTGTGTCTCCAGTTTCCCACAATTCCTCCTCCTCTCCTGGCTTGTCCCCTCCCCCTTCCCGCTCCTTCTCTGTATTGTTAATGGCTGCAGCTGCCCAGGCTGTTGCTGCCACAGGCAGTCTGCCCATGCTCAGCCTTCAGAGTTTCTAAGACGCAAGGAAGAGATGTGAATGACACACTGTGGGAAACTCACCCTCTTGGGAGTTTCTTTCAACCTTTTCCAACCCACAGAGATTAAAAAAAAAAAAAAAAAATGTAAAATGGCTGCTTCTGCTCCTACCGAGTCACTTCATTTTGGGCTTTTGGAGTCAAGAAACCCAACTTAAAACCCCAGGCTTCCGAAATCTGTGGAAGTCTGCCCTCTGCAGGTCCGTATGAACCAAACAACTGTATTAGAGTCTGCTAGGGTAAATCCACCTTCCAGCTGAATGTGGATGTTCATGTCTGCAATTCCAGAATCCAGGAAGTGGAGGGAGGAAGAAGGCTTCAGGGTTATCCTTGGCTAATGAATTCAAGGCCAGCCTGGGCTATATGAGACACTGTCTCAAGCAGACACACAAAGAAACAACAAAATGACAACAAAAAGAGATTAATGGCCAAGGTGCAGCTTCTTATTTGTTTTGAGACAGTTTTACTATGCAGCCCAGGCCAGCTTTGAACTCAACATCCTCCTACCTCCAGCTTCTCAAGTGCTGAGGTAACAGGTGTACACTACCACACACAGCCTCAAGGTGTAATTTCTTTGGGATGGTGCAGAAAGAGGTAACACATCGTCTAAGATAAATAGGCAAGCAGAGTGCCATGTTAAGACATTTCTTCTTCTTGAGACAGGGTTTCTCTGTGTTAATAGCTCTGGCTGTCTTGGAACTCACTTTGTCAACTCAGCTGGCCTCGAACTTACAGACACCCACCTGCCTCTGCCTCCTGAGTGCTCAGATTAAAGGTGCGTGCCACCACTGCCCGACTGTTCTTCTTTTTAAAGTTATTTAGTTTTATGTATTTGTTTTGCCTGCATGTATGTTTGTGTACTGCATGCATGCCTGGTGTCTGTGGAGGCCAGAAGCCCCTGGAATTGGAATTGCAGATGATTGTGAGCTGCCAGGAAGATGCTGGGAACCAAATGCTGGTCTTCTGCAAGAGCAGTACATGCTCTTAATGGCTGGACCATCTCTTTGACATGCTACTCTATTTATGATGGCCAAAGAATTGACAGACAATACTCTAAAACCCCACCCTGGAATGTTCATGGAAAGTCTCTGACTCAGTAGCATCATGATGACTTTAGTCAGCTAATCTATTTCCTGAAAGGAGTTTTAGGAGATTTATAAGATCTGCCAACATTTGGTACATCTCTGGGGCTCTGAATTGAATACACACACACACACATACACATTATCTTCATGTATTTCAGCCTCCATGTTATGAATATCCCGTAGATATTACTAAGTCATTAACAAATTCCAGGGGCTGTGTTAGGCTCTGTACATATAAAGATTACACACATGCTAAGATATTTAGACATAAATGCTCTAGACATACAATTAGATATAATTGCTTATAATGTAATATTTTGGCTCCAGTTGAGGAAGCCACATAAATATCTAAAGAGTGAATGAACTTGAGGGCTCCACGTATTTTTCACGGTTAGGCCCAAATGCAAAGAGCATGGCTGTAAGGTTCTGTACCTAAATATTCTAGTAATCAAAATGGTTAGTTATGTTGAACTGCATGACAGCTCAATCTTTAAGGAAGTATGCCGTTTATTATGATTGGTCAAGAAGCAGATAGACTGCATCATTGCCTTAAGTAGCAGGTCTGTTTCTTTTAGTCTATAACCCAAGTCGAAAAGCCCATTTTTTTTCTAGTCCCTCCACTGGGGACTGAACTCACCAGGGATGACTGATACCTACCTGGACGGTTCTAGTCATTTCTACAAGTGGAAGAGATAAAATGACAACACAAACGTGCAATTTAGAGCTAGTTTGTCTTTGATTCCTGGACTTCTACTTAATGATGAAGTCAATTTCTAAGTTGCTGTGAGTGCCAGTCTCATAAAATGTGAATAATGCCTCCAGAACCTCAGGACTGGCATAAAGATAAAGGTGACTCTACAATAGATAAGTTTTGGCACACACTAGGCAAACCCATAAACAATTTTACTGCTATGCTAACTGAATACTATTTCTGGAAAGCAATGGTTTCATGATATAAAGCTACTTGAAAACCTAATAAAAATGTATCTACCACTTCCTAAGCTAATTTAAAAATGAAAGTAAAGAGAGTTTTGTCTTTTTATGGGATTTTTTTTCCCCACAAGGCCACAATGGCCTTCTTGACAGTATGTTTAGAAATAACCACATGTGCATATCCTGTTTGAGGAGGCATTCAGCTGTGGACAGTGCAGGCCCCACTCTGCAATATCACAGAGTTGAAGTCACATCCTTTAACCAAAACCTTTCTCCCACCAGCCCAAAACTGTACTCACTGGGACATTTCTTCATATATTGAACACCTGATGGTTTCTTTATGTTCTTTAATGGCAAATACCTATGAGCATAGTTATCTTCATTTATCTGTTGAAAGTGTAGAGCCTTTTTTGAAAGTTGTTGAAAGTATAGAGCCTGTAGAGTTCTCCTTGTGGGGAAAGGAGAGCTCTTAAATGGAAAGAAGTGTCTTTCTCTAGTCCATAGAGAAAGACAGGTGGAGAGATCCAGATCAAGCCTTTACCAGCGGCACTGGGCAAAGCTGGGAGATGAGAAACAAGGAGAGTCTCTGACACGGGGAATTCTTCAGAAGCCTGAGACATGTCGGCACAGTTTCCAAGAAATAATTAATCATACCGCCCATGACAAGCTTGCAAAGAGGTTTGGATGCAGTTTCTGTGGAGATGAAATTGTTTGCTTTTTATGCCAGCAGAACAGCTAAGCCCATTTGTAAATGTCAAGTGCAGTAGTGGAGATTGGTATCTATTTCCTTATTTTTGCTTCAATCAATTGGTGTTTTGTTTCATTGTAAGTGATATTTCCTCCCTACTTATTTATGACATTCTTAGCAGACTGGAGGAAAGGATATTACAGCAAAAAGTAGCTTTCTCCCCTGATACCGAGGATCTTCTAGCACCATGAACATTAGTTAGTAGGGTTGAGCGCCATCTCAACGTATCCCTGTTTGGTGACATAACTAAGTGCTGTTGTTTGTTTTATTACTCTTGACCATCCTGACTGTGGTAAAATGGAATCTCATGGTAGTTCTAATTTGCATTTCCCTGAAGAACCTCTCACTCCTGACTTGCTTTTGTTCTTTCTATACCCTGGACTTCTCATCCTGTCAAAGTATTGCTTTCTTACCTTCCTTTCCCCGCCATGAGTCCAAACATTTTTATTCTCCCTGATTACTCCCCCCGCCCCCCCAATCCCATTGGACACAGGTTAGGAGAAGCCGAAACCTTCAGCCATGGCCCTTATGCAGCCACAGCACTTCACTTTGGTGACAGCCAAACATGTCTCCTGACATTACTAAATGCTCTCCATATTCCTCTGACAAATCAGGCACCTCAGTCTAACCTTATGCAGTAGAGAGCCTCATTCTTACTCTCCTTAAAGATCTTTTATAGAAGAAAATCTGAATGAAATAAAATAAAGCTACTGAGGATAGCCATCTTCACTTAACTGTCTCTCCCATTCAGTCAGTTTTTACTAAAGTTTTCTACTATTTAAGATTGTGTATGGGACCATAATAACCTTTCTTCTCTTTTTAAAAATAACTGTTTCCCCACTTGTTTGGGAGTCAGAGAACTTACAGAGCCTTAGACTGACCTCAAATTCTCTATGTAGCCAAGAATGAACTTGAATTTCTGATCTTCCTACCTCTGCCTCCCAAGTGATGGATTACAGACATGAACAACCATGGAGACTTTTATGAGGTTCTAGAGATCAGAGCTTCCTGCATGCCAGGCAGGTACTCTACCCCTGAATTATATCTGCAAACACCACAGTGTCTATCAATTATCTGCTACTAAGCATCCTTAAAAGTTGTCCTCTGAAACTAGAGAAATATCTTTAACAATGTAAGTTTGGACATTGGACAAACAGTAGCTTGATTCTTGATTAAGTTCATAATTGAATGGCTGCACAATATTGGAAAAGCCATTTAAGTTCCCCAGTACTTCTTATAATTTGTAGTGAAGGAATAAAGACAAAGAAATACATTCAAAACTTCCTACTCATACTGAAAAATTAAAATCCATTATAAGTAGCAATAGTGTCTTCAAATTTTGTTTTTATTCCAACATCCTTTTCCTCCACGGACTTTTTCTAAGTACATTTAAATTATGTTCTTTCATAAATTTAATTAATCCAGTAGTTATTGCCATGACACATATTAATAAATTATTACCACAAAAACCAGTAACTCAAAATAACAGTGTCTTAGCTATTTTTCTATTGCTGTGACCAAACACCATAACCAAGGCAACTTGTAAAAGAAAGCACTTAATTTGGGACTCACAGTTCCAGAAGATTGGACTCCATGACTGTCATGGCAGGGGAGCATGGCAGCAGTAGGTGGGCATGATTCTGGAGAAGTAGCTGAGAGCTTACATCCTTACTGAGAAACAGGAGGCAGAGAGAGAGTTAACTGGACATGGCACAGGCCTTTGAAACCTCAAAGCCCCTCCCAGTGACACACCTCCTCCAACAAGGCCACAAGTCCTAATCCTTTCCAAACAGTTCCATCAAGTGGGAACCAAGTATTCAAATATATGGATCTATGGGAACCATTTTCATTCAAGTCACCGTAAGGAGCAACTTACACCCACCTATCTGTGGAGGCTGCTAGGGAGGCTCTGCTGTGTACTGTATCTCTTCAGGTCTCCATCCTTCTTGGACAGTGGGTTAGCTGGGGTGATGGCACAGAAGACATTCAGAAACACATGAGCATCCCTATGGGCTAGGTTTCAAATGGAAAAATCTTTATATCTGTCTACATTCACTTGGCCAGGACAAGTAAAACAGCAAAGCTCAAAATCAAAGGGTGGGGTGGGGAATGGAGAGATGGCTCAGTGGTTCAGAGCACTGGGGTCAGAAGTTAAGAGATCTGTGCTCTTCCAGAAAACCTGCATTTCGTTCCTAGCACCCACATAGTGGCTCACAACTATTTGTAACTCCAGTCTCGGGGGATCCAATGCCCTCTTCCTCAGGCCCTGCAAGCGTGTGGTGCACAAACATACATGCACACAACTTCCCATATATAATAAAATTAAATTAAAGGGCAGGCATGTACCTTTTACTCACAATGAAGTCGAGAGAGTTAAGAGCCTAAAGAGCTGGGAGTAAAACTCAGTCTATCCCAGCATCCCATTGTAAGGTTGCAGTCTCAAATGGATGAGAAGCCTCGCTCCAGCTGTTCATTTAGCTACAGTCAAGGAGCTCTCTGTGTGAGAAAAGGATCAATTTAGAAATTTTATATGTAGGAATGGAAATAAGGTGATAGGTAAATATTTGTGACTATAGAACCTCAAGGACAAGATTATTGTCTAGATATGGTTTATAACATTACTCAAAAAGAAAGAGAATAAAATAGCAAATTCCGGAGATGATTAAACAAGGTAGGGATGTTTTTTCTAGTGGAAGTCTTTGCCCCTTGCTTTTTGCTTTCTGCCTTCATCTGTACTGGATCAGAATATAAAACATTTCCTTTTTAGCTTTAAAGTCATTCAAAGTGTTATTATTTTTACTATTATTATTAGTTTGTAATTAATATATCAAAATCGTACTTTTGTGGTAAAGTATTTTCTAACTGTAAAGTATTTTAGGTTTCGGTACATTCAAACTACAAAAAAAAAATCCATCTGGTGGATATCTGACATCTGCTTCTGTAATGAATAAGTTTTTAAGTACTTGCTGTTTCCTTTGTATGTGTGGCTAATAGAGGAGTCCTTTGCTTTCAGATCAATCAACAATTACGGCAGGTAAAATGGATATGTGATATCATTTATATTCTGCTAATGCTGATGGCTGTGATTATGGGTGGCCCATCCCTGGGTTTATTTTTAAAGTCATGGTAATATTTACCCTGGCTATTTGGCTTGCTCACAGCGAACTTCCGCGTGGCGGCTCAGCATTCAAGCACCTTCCTGCTGTATTGATAGCTCACAGGTAGCTTGTTTCAGAAAGATTTATTATCAGCTTATCGGTTTCATATTTTAATATTCGTGCCATTCTCTGTGTGTGCTGGCTATCCAGCGTCATAAACCAGTAGTGGGCTCTCTGCAGTAGCAGATGAACAAGAGGCCGATGAGAGCAGCCTGCCCCCAAAGGCAGGATTTCTGCTGTTGGCTCCAGCATGGGTTCTGTTCCTTTTTTTCCAGAGAAGATAGATCTGTGGACACTCACCATCTGGAGCGGACCCTAGAGACCCACCCTCTTGAGGTGCGGAGCCGTCTTTTATTTGGAGGGAAAGCCAAAGGTAATGAGATCCATCAACTGCTTGGTGTTCACTCAGAAACTAGAATTTAGAATTATCTAGTGCAATGATAAACAACGTTTCTATAATTTAGTTGCATAGCAGCTGCTTTAGTAAAGGAAATACGCTTTAAAAATTATTTTTGACAATATGCTTTACACACAACTTTTCATCTACAGAAAGCTAGGAAACCTGAGGACTGAAGCCCATGGTTGTGCAGCTCCTGGAAGTCAAGGCGCTCCATGTTACAGGCGTTGCTAGCTTGACTTGATTAGGATAGTGTCACGGATTATTTTAGACGTTTTGAAATTAAAGTGTATCTTATTGTCACCCTATACCAAAGTAGGATACTAAATTGTTAAAGTATGAATTGAGGCATTTATGATAGTAATATTATTTTGTGAGAAAATGTTGGCATATTCCAAATTACTTCGAGCATGCATGCATGCATACATATGTAAGTGTGTGTGTGTGTGTGTGTGTGTCTGTGTGCATACATGCTCTTTATTAGGTCAACTAACTCGAGCATCTTTTCCCCACTAAAGTATCAGGTAAACTTCATTCATGTACCTCACGCCTGCTAGAGTAGCAGAAACCTGTTCATCACAACCTACGGGGGAATCATTTTAATTTTTTTTGTTTGTCTGTGTTGATGTGTCAAAAAAAACCACAAAAAACTAGTGGGTTTTGCCACCTATCCTGCTCTGCATTAGGGGAATGTTTGGCTTCTGGTCATGTTCCTTCTCAAGCATGATGATTTCAGCATTGGGAAAGGCTCCATCCCCAGCCCCATGCCTATTTCCTCCTGTAAAAATAAGAATTTGTCAAAAATACTTTCAGCATTTGAATAAAGGATACAGGATGAGACACAGAGCTGTAAAATATTTTAAAATAGAATTATTCTTAAATTTATATCTAATTTCATTTCCAAATTTGCATGGTAGAAAACAAGACCTGAGTTTAAATCAGGAACTTAGCACAAGTGTGTTTTAAATATAAAGGTAAAGGGATAAACATTTCATAAAAAGAAGTATAGATGCAAGAGAAACAAATGACTTAAGTTTGTTAATAATTATTCACCAAGTCATAGATAATACATTTAATATTATTAGATACGCTTCACTGGGTATGATAGTAAGGCAGTCATAGAAGGAATTATGGAATAGACAAAGAAGAAAGAGTAACTGATTGCCCAGGGAAATCGATTGCTAAATTTGGTGTGATTGATTCTGTTTTTGTTATGTATTTATTTGTTCAGTTTCAATTTCACCATCCCTGGGAAAACACTATGGAATACTCAGTAATTATTTTCATGCTTATGTAATTGCATATCAAATACATTTTTATATGCTACATATGTTAAATAGGAATAATTTATATTTATTATATTATTAAATATTAAACATTAAATATAAATATAAAATACTATAAATGAACTTGGCATATGGGATTTTAAAATACCCTAATACCTAACACTGAGAAAAATCATGTTTCAATGCTTTTTGTTTACCTTAAAAGATAATATTCCATCTTCCTATGCTTTTAGATAAAAGAACCAGCCCATTATGTTTAACACGTTATTGAATATACATCATATATCTAATGATATGTACCTGAAATGAAGTCAGACTATTTCAGTTATTTTCAATGTTATAAAAACTATTACACTGAGCATTTACTGAGTCTACAATCTGAGCATTTTAAACTTTAACATAATGCTAATAAAATTGGGTGTCTGGGTGCATTCCTGCAGCCCAAGTTCTTAGGAGGTCAAAGCAGGAGAATGGCAAATTCTAGACTGGACATAGTAAAACCTGTCACAAACAGCATCTCATATGCCAACGTGGTAAAATTTAATTTCTTCACTCCCACTTACCTCTCTTCCTCTCTGGGAGGTATCAAAGTAGTTCAAAAAGTGAGTGCCAGGTAAATATTAAGGTTTCCTTGAATTAATTGACTTACTCATCCTTCATTCATTGAGAAAAAGTATAATATAGCCCAGGTTGGCTTCAAACTCCCTATGTAGGCTAACCTCCAACCTTTGGCCTTTACTCCCTGAGCCTTTCAATCACAAGCATCCCTAGACTAACAGAAATAGCTAAATTTTAAATTTTCAGTGCTCAGAATTAAAATCAGAAGTTCTCAAATGCTAGGCAAGTACTCTAACACTGAAATACACCAATAGCCTCAAAGTTAATATTTTCATTTAAAAATCCTTATGCTATGCAAACATAATTCTTTTTAAATTAAAAAAAGTGTAGTCTGTGTGTGCACATGGCATGGTGCTAGTGTGGAGGTCAGAGGTCAGAGGTCAGTTCTGTGGAGTCTGTTCTCTCCTTCCACCTCCGAGTGGGTCTAGAGGTTGAACTCAGGTCAGCATGGTGGTAAGAGCTTTACTCACCGAGCCTTCTCTTCAGTCTTGCGATTCTTTTTATTATTATTATTGTTGTTGTTGTTGTTGAGACAGGGTCTTACTATGTAGCCTTGGCTGACCTGGAGCTTGTGATACAGACCAGGCTGGACTTGAGCTCACAGAGATTCACCTGCCTCTGCCTCCTGATTAAAGGCATGCACCACCACAGACAGCAATTCTTGTTTATTTAAAATCAAACTTAATTGAGAAAACATTACTCTCTGCTGTTGATTTTATTCTTCATGACTTCAGATGTAAATGCTTCTATAAAATATGTTTTCTACAGAAATGTTTTTTTTTTTGTATTGAGTTTTCCGAGATTCTTTTAAGAGGTGATTGTTTTCCCCCCCACCCCCATCCATATAGACACCATTATGGCTGAATATAGGTCTGCTGAATTGTCATTTCATTTTCTGAGAGTTTAAAATGATTCCCTGCCCGTTGGCTTCCCAAATGTAGATATGTTAGCCACAGCTTGATATTCTTATTCTTATTTCCCCCATTCTCCACTTTTCCTCCCTGCCTGCCTTCTCCTGCCCCTCCCTCCCAGGGCCTTACTGATGTTAGGCGTGGATGGCTCTCTCACTCAAGGGAGGCCTAAACTCTAGTGCTAGGAAAGGAAGGCACAGGAGGCTGGGTGGTTGAAAAGAGTGCACGTAGGAGGGAGACAAAGACATTTCATTTCCAGGCACACAGGCTGACAGGTAGACTGGGGAAGGTGGAGACAAAGGCTAGAGACCTGTGACTTCAAGACTTGTGGGGTATGCAGCAGAGAAGACTGCTCAGACACGGGTTTAAGCCAAGAGAAAGTCTTTGTTAGTGGGCCAGCGGCTACTCTGGATGTTCGGGATCCCAGTGTAGTCCGGAGCCTTTCTTTGAGTCTTTTTTAAAAGGCTCAACCTTTAAACCTATGTTCAGGTTTGACACACTTCAGTTAACAAGAACAGTTAGCCAGAAGCAGAACTATAGAAACCAAGAAGCAAGGTCAGTACATTTAGAGACTTTCCCAGACTTTGATGCATTATGTGTTTGTTTTCATTTTGGCAGATGGTACTGCCTACATGCTGAGTTTTGCAGCCTGAATGGTACTTTCATCATGGAGTGTGGAGGCCTGTTAAGGTCTGGGGACCTGTTACAAGGCCATGTGCAGATAAAGCCTACACATTTGTGGCATTCTATAAGAGATAGTTCCATAGCAGATATACTACTGTTTTCTTTCGGGTTCCCTTGATATCTGGTGTCAGTCATTTTGTGCTGACTCATAGCCACAGCACACCACATCCAGTGGCTTGTTCCTCACGGCTTGCTCAGTCGGCTTTCTTATAGATCCCAGGACCACCAGCCCAGGGACGGCCCCACCCACGATGGGCTGAGCCCTTCCCCATCAATCACTGATTAAGAAAATGCTTTACAGGCTTGCCTACAGCCGGATCTTATGGAGGCATTTTCTTGACTGAGGTTCCCTCCTCTCAGATGAGGGAACTTTAGCTTGTATCACGTTGACATAAAACTGACCAGCACATGTCCTGAAGGAAGAAAGCGAGAGAGACACGGAGAAGGAGAGTTCAGGAGAGTCCAGCTGTTGTGTTTCTCCTGCAATGTGGTGGGTTCACATCACAGCTGGCAGCACTATCCTGCAAGGTGGGATCTTACAACATGTCAAAGTTCGGCAGTTAAGGAACAGGTATCTGTTAACAGTTGTGTAATTGTTAACAATTGTATAATTTGGGAATGTTTGATTCTCATTAGGTCTGTAGGACTTTCTCATCTGTCCTTTTTGTCTCCTTTGTATATCACAGATTTGTTGTCCTCAGCAAGCTCATCAGACTCAATTGACTGTCAGTAGTTCTCAGTTATAATGGCTGCATTTGATCTTTGACCCCCCACCCTCACACCACCTCACCCATGACTCTAACTCAATGATTGTCTCTTTCTGGGGAAGCTTGGGGCCCTTTTCCTTTCACTTTATGATAGATTCTTCTTATTATTTAATTTCCTGTTTTTCATGGATGTTTGAGACATGTTTGAGACATGCTTGTAGAGGCCCAAGATTGATGTTCGAAATCATCCTCAATAGCCCTTCCATCTTGTTCAATGAGGCAGCATCTCTCAGTCAAACACAGAGCTCAACAATATGATGAGTCTTGGTAGGCCGCTTATTTTGGGGGTCCCCTGTCTATACCTTTCTCACCAGTATTTATGTGCATTCCAGGGATCTGAACTCCAGGCTGTGCTTTAAGGACGAGCTATCTCCCAGGTGCAGTTTATAATGAATTTTTCTACCTGATAACAAAAACAGCAACATTCTCCTCTGCTCCATATCATTTATTAAATATACATAAACCTTCTATAGAGTTCCTTCATAATCTTCACCTTTTACCAAGGACAGTGAACAGGGAACCAATTCATTCTTTCCTAGCTTAGATGCTAATGCTCATGTCAGGACTCTAGAATAAGCCAAAAGCAAGTTCAATTTGAAAAAATATACAGCTTTGGAGAAAGCTTTCCTTTCAGCCTTTGATGTGTCAAGGACAAGCAGGGTTGTTTTTCCCAAAATGATTACACCTGGATTCCCCCCCCCCCCCCCCCCCCCCCCCCCCCCCCCCCCCCGAGACAGGATTTCTCTGTGTAGCTTTGCGCCTTTCCTGGAACTCGCTTTGGAGACCAGGCTGGCCTCGAACTCCCAGAGATCCTCCCGCCTCTGCCTCCCGAGTGCTGGGATTAAAGGCGTGTGCCACCACCACCCGGCTTACACCTGGATTTTGAAAGTTTTATTTATACTCTGATTAGTGAAAAAAAAATCCCACAAATCTATCACTGCTTCCTTAGTTTTCACCCAGAAAGCTGTAAAACTTCCCTGAATTTCACAGAACCTCTGCCTTGACCAGTGATGAAAAAAGTCACCTAGTTTGTGTAAATCACAGAAGTCCGTTTGTAACCCTCTCTCCGAGGACAGGACAGAAGTGATAGCCCAGCCACATGAAAACAGGACTCAGAATCGGAAGAATGAGAGGCTCGATGACTCTATCAGAGGGCTGCCGATCAGCAGGATGCAGCACGCACATGCACGCAGATGAGACCAATTCCTGGGGTACATGTCACTGAAATTTATGGTCTTAATACAAGACAGGGGTAGGCATGGGACATCACGGTACAACTTCCCTCAACCTCTAATCCCTGAGTAGATCCCATGTCTGCTTGGGTCATAGGATTGGCACTGAGTCCATATTTTGTGTTATTACTATTTTATATTACATTAATATTCTAGGAAAATATACATTGAAATACATGCTCTTCCATATTAATGCTGTTTTCTTGGTTGGGAATCACTCTTGTAAGAACACCAGAAAAAATAGCACGGAAACCATTCGGGAAGTTGTCATTCGCGTAGTCTAGCAGATAATGGCTTGGACTAAAATGGCTATCAGTAAGTGGTCTAGGTCTAGACATATTTTCCATGGAGAGCCAAGATAAATTTTTTGTCAGGTAGGTATGTTTAGCCTGAGAAAAAAGAATTGCATCAAGATTTTGGAATTCAGGAGTTATTATTATTATTATTAATTGTGTGTGTGATGGCAAGTATGTTCAATTAAGAAGATACGTTTGGGAGTCTTTCCCTCCTTTTACCACATGCAATCAAACTCCAATCACCAGGCTGGCATGGCAAGTATTTTCACCCATTTATCCTGGATCAAGTACTCTCAAAGTGGACCTCATATCTCCAAGATGTACAGGGCAGAGAATGAGGAAGATTCAGGCACGTGATGTAAAAGAGATGGAGAGCTTGATCTAGACATGTCAAGAGATGATATCTTCCAGCAGGCAAGAAATCCTAAGCCAGAGTTGGGGAGGCAAGACTGGGGTAGATGCATGCATTGAGACTTGTTGGCTTGTAGATTATTTTAAAATCACAAGATCATGAGAAACTGGGAAGAAGTTGTTGAAGGGAGCAGGGGTATGTGAGAGGAGACGGACAAGGAACTGTGACAGAAAGGAGCAGCTTATAAAGTTGCAAAACTTGTAAGGGATGGTGACCCGGGAACCACAGAAAGGATCTAGTTGAAGGAGTGACTAAGATACCAGGCAAAATGTGGTCCAAAGACTTACTGCTGAGTTTGGTAATCTAGTAGTAAGTTGGCTAAGAATGACTTTGATAGAGTATTGATGGAAAATCTTACCAGGGCATACTCAAAAAGCTATTTTAAATCTATCCTCAGCCAACTTAAATCTGGCCCATAGAGTATAAGCCTTCCAACTCTGTCTTTCTTCAGACAAAGACTGTTTCCAAATCATCATTTGATTTTCTCTGGATTTTAAACATGGAGGTTTTATGTGCTGATTTTATTTCATTCCAAGTTTTATATTTTAGCACAACGTCCAGCTCCAACTAGGTATTAAACATACTTTGGATTGAAGCATTAAACTAACCTTGGGAATAAAACTTCAGAAGCAGATATTCTTCACCAAGAACATGGAAATATGGTATAAAAGGAATGAGTAAGGTGCTGGTCACTTAATCGTTTCTCTTCTTCTTTTTACTTCTCTCAGGTATATATGCCCATAAAAAATGAAAAGAGATGGAACTCTAACCCAACTATGGATTCTGGAGAAAGATTGCTCAGCAGCCTAAGGGAAAAACTAGCCTATGTGTAGTTATTTACAGTGATGCATCTTTGCCACGATATTAATATTTCCCAAATGAACAGCAACTGGTCAAGGGATGTCCGTGCTTCCCTGTATAGCTTGATGTCACTCATAATTCTGGCCACTCTGGTTGGCAATGTGATAGTAATAATTTCTGTATCCCATTTCAAGCAACTTCATACACCCACAAATTGGCTCCTTCATTCCATGGCCACTGTGGACTTCCTGCTGGGCTGCCTGGTGATGCCTTACAGCATGGTGAGAACAGTTGAGCACTGTTGGTATTTTGGAGAAATTTTCTGTAAAGTTCACACCAGCACCGATATTATGCTGAGCTCAGCATCCATTTTCCACTTATCCTTCATTTCCATTGACCGATACTATGCTGTGTGCAACCCGTTAAGATACAAAGCCAAGATCAATACCTTGACTGTTTTTGTGATGATCGCCATTAGTTGGAGTGTTCCTGCTGTTTTTGCCTTTGGAATGATCTTCCTGGAGCTGAACTTAAAGGGAGTTGAAGAACTGTATCACAAACAGGTTGACTGCCTGGGCGGCTGTTCTGCCTTCTTTAGCAAAGTACCTGGAGTGCTGGCCTTCATGACTTCTTTCTATATACCTGGATCTGTCATGTTATTTGTTTACTATAGAATATATTTCATAGCTAAAGGACAAGCAAGGTCAATTAATGGCACGAATCTTCAAATTGGATTGGAAGAGAAACACAGAACGCCACAAAACAAAGAAACAAAAGCCGCCAAGACCTTAGGGATTATGATGGGTGTTTTCCTCATATGCTGGTGCCCCTTCTTTTTCTGCATGGTCCTGGACCCTTTCCTGGGCTATCCTATTCCACCCACTTTGAATGATGCACTAAATTGGCTTGGGTACCTGAATTCTGCCTTCAACCCAATGGTTTATGCCTTTTTCTATCCCTGGTTCAGAAGAGCATTGAAGATGATTATCTTTGGCAAAATTTTCCAGAAAGATTCATCTAGGTCTAAGTTATTTTTATAGTGCAGTCTGTGAAACCATTATATTTTACTGTTTTGTAAAACAGTTGGTGGTTGTATTTATGAAAATAGTGAACCAACCACAGGCATTAACTTCATGGACTAGTTTTTTTTTCCAGACAGGGATACTCTGTGTAGTTTTGGTGCCTATCTTGGATCTGTCTCTATAGACCAGGCTAGTCTCGAACTCACAGAGATCTGCCTGTCTCTGCCTCTTGAGTGCTGGGATTAAAGGCGTGTGCCACTGCTACCCAGCAACTTTATGGACTTTTAAAATCAGTTATTTGAGTTAAAATGTATATGATGAATTAAACTTTGATGTTTGTATATGAGCTGATATTTGGCATGGAGTAGATGTGGTCTTTGACATTTTTGTTATGCAGGCTTAACTGTGGTAAATGCAGTATTAAAGACTTACATGTAAAAGAATTGTCCCTTCCCTTAGAAGACCTTCTATGAATTGACAGTAGTAGTTTATTCATTCAGCAATTGAATCACAAGACTGAATTTAGGGTACAAACTAGAAGGAATTTGCCATATACACATACACACAGATATACACACATAAATACATATATATACATATATATATACATATATATATATATATGTATATATATATGAAAGCAGGGAAAGTAATAGTGGTTTCCAATTAGATAATCTAATAGGAAGTCAGAAAATATTATAAATTATATACATTGATTTGAAATTAAGGCATTTCTCAAATAGATTTTATGGAATTAGCTTCAAGTTAAGCATTACTAGAAATATGGATTTATTTAATAACAGTGACATTTTCATGACCAAATTAAAGAAAGGTAGCTAATTAAAAAATAACTAACATGTACATTCCATTGTCTGTTCATACGGATGTATTAAATCCTTCTATCTCCAGACATAGTGGCGTACATCTGTAATCTCAGCACTGGAGAGGCAGAGGCAGAAGGATTGCCTTATATTGAAGGCCAGCCTGGCAAACACAGCAAATTCCAGGGTTGCAGAGTAAGACCCTGTCTCAAAACAAACAAACCAGTTGGAAACTACACAATCCTTCCATCTGTTGTTATACTGCACTCTAAGATTATATTGTCTAATTGATTTGGCTCTAGTACACTTTTAACAACAGTATAGCTGGCCTGTGAAGGTAGTACATTATAATACAAGTTGCTTCTCCTCAGTCTTAAACACTACTTTCAATTCCTTTCCTTGTGAGACTGGTTTGTTAAATTTCAAAAAGGAAACAAATGTTTTTGAAGAATTTTCTACGCTTTACAGTGAGTTTCTGTTGTTTTCTTTATTTATTCCAAGATGTTTCTCAAAGATTATTTCTATGGCTCTAGAAATGAAGACCCAAGGATCCAGAAATAACTGTCTGGATTTATGTGCAGTCATGTAGACGTGTGGCTAGAAGACAATAAGCTGTGATTTAATAGTAATAAACTGGATGAAATTGAAAAAATATATTTTATTGTAACCATTATTGCTGGTATACAATAAAGTTTATATATAATTTCATTTGATTTGTTTGTGTTTCCATAATAGACAAGCATACTATCCTTAATATTGTTTTAACTTTTAAGTAATTACTATTTTTTTTGTTGTTGAGACAGTCTCACTGTGTAGTTTGATTAGCCTAGAATTTGCTATGTAGACCAGGCTGGCCTCAAACTCACAGAGATCTGCCTGCCTCTGCCTGGTAAGTGCTGGGATTTAAAGTATATGCCACTACATCCAGCCATTAAGGTTTTTATATACATATTCCTTACTGTGCTCTTAGTCAGAATTTCTAGAACAATATTGAACAATATTGAATAGAACAATAATGAATTAATGACTACTAAGGTTTTTTATTAAATCTGTATCAATCTTTGTTTTTCTTCAAACAAGTTCACGACTCACATAATTCTGCATTTTTACTTAGTACCAACCCCTTTAACATTTCTGCTTCTTTGTAGGCTCTGGTTTAATACTCTCAAGAGATAGCCAAACAGGAGAAAAGGCCTGCTTTGTCTTTACCACAGTCCCAGCTTTATGGAACCCATATCTTTCCATGCAGAAGACATTTTTTTGTGTTTTGATTGTCTACTCTCCAGCTGGAAACCAGTGAGCTTACAGGAGATTTTCCATTTCAACTGGACAGAATCTTTTCTAACTTCCATGGGGCTCTGGGGCTCCTGGCCTCTGGTCTTTTAACTAAACAGATGAGTGTATGACCTAAGTTAAAATTTTCAGAAGAGGGCTGGAGAGATGGCTCAGAGGTTAAGAACACTGGCTGTTCTTCCAGAGGTCCTGAGTTCAATTCCCAGCACCCGTATGGTGGCTCACAACCATCTGTAATGAGATCTGGCTCCCTCTTCTGGCCTGCAGGGATACATGCAAACAGAACACTGTATACATAATAAATAAATAAATCTTTTTTTTTTTTGGTTTTTCGAGACAGGGTTTCTCTGTGTAGCTTTGCGCCTTTCCTGGGACTCACTTGGTAGCCCAGGCTGGCCACGAACTCACAGAGACCCGCCTGGCTCTGCCTCCCGAGTGCTGGGATTAAAGGCGTGCGCCACCACTGCCCAGCAAATAAATCTTAAAAAAATTTTTCAGAAGAGTTTTCTTCAGAATTTGAATCTCTATAAATGTGAGCAGGTTGTGATCCTTCATATCATCATTAGGAAAGAGCCAAAGGGATGTGGAGTTTCAGTTCATGCGAGTAAGGTCATAGTCAGACTTCTCCCAATCTGTCCATTTCCAAAATGAGTTGTGCAGCCTTTCTCAGACCCATGAGTCCCAGGTAGGCTTCCGTGAAAAGCTTTTAGTTATATCGATGGAAAAGCTCTTATTGTAGAAGAATACAACTGTTCCAAGAAAACAATTACAACAGCATGAATATTTCTTTCTAAGTCAATTTATGATAAAAAATAATTTCATTTTCCATGTTCCACTAAAACCATCATATACATTTTCATTCCAGGTCAGGTAGTGATGTATTAGCAAGGACATTTGTTGGAAATGAATCATTAATAATGGCTCTGTTTTAAGAGGTGAGTGAGCTAGGAGGTTCCATCATGATTTTAAATTGTATCTGGAAATCAACACTCTAGTCTTTGCAAAGTCATACATATTTGCCAGAAAGTGGAACAAACTGGGCAAACTGACCCACGGAGGGTTTTGACAAGTCACACGTTCTGTTTAACTGTGCCAATGTCACCAGCCGAGAGCTTGGATAGTAAATGTAAAAGATACATGAAGAATGATTTGTTTTTTCTAAAACAGTGGTTTTTATTATTTATCTTAGTTATTTTAAAAAACAGAACTCTGTGTGTGTGTGTGTGTGTGTGTGTGTGTGTGTGTGTGTGTGTGTGCGCGCGCGCGCGCGCATATGCACATAATTACAGGTCCAAGAAGAGGAATTTCTATCCCCTGCAGCTAGAATTACAGGCAGATTTGAGTTGCCCAACATCATTGCTAGGAACTGAATCTGGGTCCTCTGCAAGAGCCGCACATTTTCTGAAACACTGAGCTCTCTCTCTCCATCACAAATAGTTGGATCTATAGAAGTATTTTGAAAATATTTGTGTGTGTATGTGTGTGTGTCGTGGTGTGTCATGTCTGTGTTCATATGTGAGATGCTCAGATGCACAGGTGGAGGACAGAGGAGGACATCAGATGTCCTGCTCTGTCATTCTCCACCCTGTTCCCTTGAGACAGGGCTTCTCTCTTTTTATTTTATTTTTTGAACTTTCAGATAGTTGTTGCAAACTTTAATACTAAGCATCATGTATGCAATGCTGAAAACCACAGTGTTAACACAGACTTAAACAATGTTTGTCTTAAAGGACAAAAAGTAGGGAAAGCTTTGGCATTGATCTTTCATATACATTGACAGTTACTGTTTATTTTATTTTATTTTTTAATTAAGACTTTTTTTATTCATTTTACATACCAATCACAGATCCCCCTCTTCCCTCCTCCTGTCCTTCCAGCTTTCCTCCCCCCAAACCACTACCCATTCCCTCCTACAAGAAGGTAAAGCCTCCCATGGGGAGTCAGCAGAGCCTGGTACATTCAGTAGAGGCAGGTCCAAGCCCCTCCCCCTGCCTCAAGTCTATGTGAGTTGTCCCACCACAGGTAGTGAGCCCCAAAAAGCCAACTCAAGCACCAGGGATAGATCCTGTTTCTTATGTGAAACAGATCTAGGGATATTTAGAAGCATTTTTTTTTCACCTCACAAAGCAAGTTATCCTTCCAATAAATTCAGAACTCATTATAGTTTTAAAAGAAGCCGAATTAGCAAATGTGTCTGTCTCATAAGATTTTACAGAACTCCAGTACACTAACATTTAGCCAACTAACAGGACTATCAATAACATCATTCTTAGATGTACTGTATATAACTGGTCTTAGCTAGAATGACCCTTATAATTCAACCTTGTTGTAATCAAAGCAGAACTTGTTTCTCAGGATGTCATCATGAAGGTTAGTCTAGCAATAGCTTCATGGTTTTTATTTTATTTTATTTATTCATTTTATATACCAACCACAGATCCCCCCCTTCATCCCTCCTCCTACCCCCTTGCCTCTCTCCCCTCCAAGTCACCCCTCGTCCCCTCCTCCAACAGGGTAAGCTCTCCCATGGGGGAATAGCTAAACCTGGTACGTTCAGTTGAGGCAGGACCAAGCCCCTCCCCACTGCATCAAGGGTGAGCAAGGTGTCTGACCATAGGTAATGAGGTTCAGGAAGCCAGTTCATGCACCAGGGATTGTAACACGAATTTTAAAATGGTCTTTTAATAAAAAACCCAGAACCAGATATTGGGGTAAATGTTGAAAGATCAGAGAGACAAAGGAACAAGCCACTGCCATGTCTTACCTCTAGGACTCCTCAGCCTGAAAGAACCTCAGCTCCTGTCTCCTCGTGCCTTATATACCTTTCTCCTCCTAGCCATCACTTCCTTCCCAGTGCTGGCATTAACGGCGTGTGTGCTTCCCAAATACTGGGGTTAAAGGTGTGTGCTACCACTGCCTGGCTCTGTTTCTCTCCTAGACTGAGTCAATCCCATGTAGTCTAGGGTGGCTTTGAATTTACAGAGATCCAGACTAATCTCTACCTCCTGAGTGCTAGGATTAAAGGTGTGTGCCACCACTGCCTCGCCTCTGTGTTTAATCTAGTGGATTGTTCTGTTCTCTGATCTTCAGGCAAATTTTATTAGGGTACACAATATATCACCACAAGGGATAGATCCTGATCACACTGCCAGGGGCCCCTCAAACACACCCAGCTACACAACTGTCTACCGTATGCAGAGGGTCTAGTACAGTCCCATGCATGTTCCACAGCTGTTGGTCTAAAGTTCCTGCGTTCCTTTGAGCTTGGTTCAGTTGTCTCTGTAGATTTCCCCATCACGATCTCTACCCCCACCCCTTGCTCATATAATCCCTCCTCCCTCTCCTTGACTGGACTCCCAGAGCTCGGCCTAGTGCTTGGTTGTGAATCTCTGCATCTGCTTCCATCAGTTACTGAATGAAATCTCTATGA